TCTATTAATAGTTTATAGTAAATACTTCCTAAATTTATCTAAAACTGTAAGACATATATCTATTAATTTTTTATAAGACATAAAAACTTTTATTCTACTAATTTTTATAAGACATACATCTTCTAATTTTTTAATGTGCTTTTTTTCTTTTTGTTGAGATTGACTCTCACCCAGGCTGAAGTGCAGTGGCACAATTGTGGCTTGAACCCGCCTCCTAGTTTCAAGCAATTCTCCTGCCTCACCCACCCGAGTAGATAGGATTACAGGCGCATACCACCATATCTGGCTAATTTTTATACCTATTTAGTAGAGACGGGGTTTCACCAAGATGGCCAGGCTGGTCTCAAGCTTCTGACCTCAGGCGACTCACCTGCCTCGGCCTCCCAAAGTGCTGGGATTACAGACGTGAGCCACCACACCTGGCTGCTTTTTAAATGTTTTCTGACTGGGCGCAGCAGCTCGTGCCTGTAATCCCAGCACTTTGGGAGTCCAAGGCGGGCGGATCACCTGAGGTCAGAAGTTCGAGACTAGCCTGGCCAACTTGGTGAAACCCCATCTCTACAAAAATACAAAAACTTAGCCAGGCATGATGGCAGGCGCCTGTAATCCCAGCTACCGAGGGAAGCTGAGGCAGGAGAATCACTTGAAAACAGAAGGCAAAGGTTGCAGTGAGCCGAGATCACGCCACCGCACTCCAGCCTGGGAGACAAGAGCGAAACTCCATCTCAGAAAAAACTGTTTTCTGACCAAACTACTGTTGTCTCTTGCTTCGTATTATATAACAGAATGTCAGGGCCAGATTTCTATCTCAGGACATAATACTATCCTCATTCTTTTTAATGGTTTTGTCACTTGCTGTGTGACATTGGACTAGTTGTTTAACCTCTCTGAGACTTGGTGTGCTTAATCTCTAAAATGGGGACTAAAAATGTACTGTCGTACTGGGTGGGTGTGGTGGCCTGTACTCCCAACACTTTGGGAGGCTGAAACAGGCAGATCATGAGGTCAGGAGATAGAGATCATCCTGGCTAACATGGTGAAACCCCCTCTCTACTGAAAATACAAAAAATTAGCCAGGCATAGCGGCAAATGCCTGTAATCCCAGCTACTAGGGAGGCTGAGGGTAGAGAATCGTTTTAACCTGGGATGCGGAAGTTGCAATGAGGCGAGCTCCCACCCCTGCACTCCAGCCTGGGTGACAAAGAGAGACTCAGTCTCAAAATAAACAAACAAACAAACAAACAAATAAATAAAAATGTCCCGGCCACAGAGAGCTATTATGAGGATTAAATGAGTTAAAGGCATCTTGTACAGTGTCTGACACAAATTAAGTGCTCAAAAATGTTAGCTCTCATTGCTGTGAATAGCTCCATATCTGGCTGTACCATAATTTCTTTAACCAGTTCCATACCTATGGTCATTTATGTAATATAATGTTTTCAAAAGTGGCCACAACAGTTCCACCATCCTTATACACATGACTCCTTGCAATATGATTTGATGTTTTTCTCATGAAGAGATGGAATCTATTTCTATTCTCCTTGAATCTGAACTGGTCATGTGACTGTCTTTGATCAATGTAACGCAGTGAAATGACCCAATAGCATTTCTAAGCCTAGATCTGAAGAGATCTTCTGCTTTTGTTTTCTTTCTTTTGGAGGCCATCATGTGAGGAAGCCTGAGCTAGCTTACTGAAGAAGCAACATGGAGGAGAACCAAGGCACTCAAGCCAACAGCCCCAACCAACTGCCAAACAAGTGAATGAGGCTGTAGAGGACTAACCAGTTTGCTGGCCTTCTCACTTATGGCAAAAGTGACAGTAAGCCAGGAACGACCACTTAGAGCAGAAAAGAGCTGTCCTGGCTGAGACATGTCCAAACTGCCAATCCACACCACACAAACATAAAATAAATTATTGTTGTAAGACACTGTATTTTGGGGTGATTTTGTTAAGGAGCAATAGAAAGCTAATACACTTAGGTTCTTAGCGCAGTGATTAAGACTTTTGCCTGTAATCCTAGCACTTTGGAGGCCAAGGCAGGAGAATTGCTTGAGCCTAGTAATTCAAGTCCAGCCCTGGCAACATAGCAAGACCCCATCTGTACAATAATAACAGTAATAATAAATTTAAAATGAGCCAGGCATGGCGGTGCATGTCTGTAGTCCCAGCTACTCAGGAGGCTGAGGTGGGAGGATTGCTTAAGCACAGGAGTGCAAGGTTATAATGAGCTATGATCATGCCACTGCACTCCAACCTGGACAACAGAGCAAGAGCCTGTCTAAAAAAAAAAAAAAAAAAGAGAGAGAGAGAGAAAAAGACTCTAATGGCCCAGGTTGAAATGCAGGCTCCATCTCTGGTATGTGACCTTGGACATGGCCTGGGATCTCTGTGAACCTGAGTCTCCTCATTTGTACAGTGGGATACTTTCGGTTTCTACCTCATTAGGTTGACATGAGGATTAAGTGAGATCATGAACATTCAGTGTGTGGCACAGTGCAAATACTCTCAACATCTTAACAGTTGCTCTTGCTGCTGTTTGCAGAAAGACTAGCCTCAGAGCTGTGATGTGGCAGGTCAGGGAGAGTAAGAGTTAAGGATAAATGTTAAGTCCACAACTAGGTGAACACTGGGGATGGGAAGCCTTGTAAGACCGGAGACCTACACAAGTCTGGCCTGGCAGATGCAGGAGCTGGGGCTCAATAATGTCCTGCATGAGTATGAGGGGTTGTATATGTGTGCCCAGGTGAGCCCTCTGAATGAAGTCAAGGATAGAGGCCAGAACTTAGAAGAAGAATGAACTAATGCTGAGAGAGAGGCTGAGATCAGAAAGGCATGAAGGCTAAGCCCTGGGAAAAATCCTCACTACACTCAGGTGAAAACCCAGCTTCTTTTTCATGACCTGAATCCCCTGCCCACCTCTCCCACCATATTTCTTCCTCTTTTTCCCTTTATTTGCAGTGCTTCCGCCACCATGGCCTCCTTCTTCAAACTTACCATGCTCTTTCCTGCCTTGGGATGTTTACACTTACTATTCCCTTCTCAAAGGCATCTTCTGAACTCTCAAGCTAAAGTTCTTTATTTCACAGCTACTTGTCTTCTCCTTTCATAGCCCTTACCGTTATCTGAAATTACTTTGTTTATGAATTTGTTTACCTGTGCATGACTTGCTTCTCACTTTAGAAGGTGAGCTCCACCAGTGTATATCTTGCTCATAACACATCTCCAGTACCTAGCACAGTGTCTGGCTCATAGCAAATAAATGGTTGTGAGTTGAACAAATGTGAATATAGCTGGGAAAAAAAAGAAGCCACGAGAGCCAAAAATATATGTTCGAGAGGTAGGTAGAAGGGTAATCATTTCCTGGAAGATGACCTCCCAGAAACTTGAGGATCATCTTATATAACCTCCTCAGTCCACAAGTGGGGGCAATTGAGGCCCAGAGGTGAGGAGTCACCAGTTGAAGTACACCCAGAGAACAACTGTTGTGGGTTCCCAAGCAATTGGGATCAGATGTTACAAGCCTAACTAGCAGATGAGGCCCAGAGAAGGCCACACAGCCACCTCCCTAAGGCCATCACCATAAGTCTGCAGCCACCACCAGCCCTAACCCCACATGGGGAGGAGGTGCCTCTTTGGCAGCAGAGGTGCTAGTCAGCTGACAAACTGTGAAAGGAGGGCTGTGGAGAGTGGAGAGGCCTATTCCTGAGACAAGCAGCTATTCTGAGATAGCTAGGGATAATGGTTGGTACTGAAATAACCTGGCCTCCTCACCCTCGTTCCAGTGCTCACACCTCTGTCCCACCAGAGGTGAGACTAACACTCGAACTCCTTTCAGCAACAATTAGACGCCCCTCCTTTTAGCAGGGCCTGCAAAGGAGAGGTAGATCATCAGATGGAGCCCTGTCCAGTGGGGTCTCACAGTCTGGTGGAGGAGACAGACTAAGGTGCTCAGGCTACAGACTGATGGTGCCTGGGTTTGAGGGAGTTCAACAGAGAGAAGATCCCTAGAGGAAAGGATCCCTGAATTAATTCAATCGGCATACAGAAATTACCCAGTCCATGAGGTGACAGTAAGAGAAGTAACTGCCAGTAGAGGGAGGGAGGCAGCACAGCCAAGTTCCAGGAATTGTTTGCAATCTTAGTGGGTGGAAGCTTCAGGAATTTGAGACGAGAGTGGCCGACCAGGAGGCTGGAAAGGAGGGTTTGGCCAAATTATACAGGACCTTGAATGTCAAGTGAAGAGTTTGGGCTATCTTTGGTGCACAAAAGAGGTCCATGGGAGATTTTTGATGATGAGGAGACCATGATGAGCTTTGCATGGTAGAAAGTGCTCTGCAGCTGTTTTGGGGAGGTAGCTCGGGCAAGGAGAGCAGGGGTGGATAGCAAACAGAAGGGAAAAAACACTATATTGTGGATGCAGAGCTCTAGGCAGGACTCCTGCAGGAGGAAGGAATTGGGCCTCGGTCTCTTGAGAACTAGTATTCCCACTTCCCAAACTCCTGTGCCACGCCCTTCCTGGGGTCCAACTTTCATTCACTTCTTCCGAACTCCAAGTTCCAACAGAAAAACTGTCGCTGAAACCCTAATTTTAAACGAGGGGTCAAAGCAACAGAGACTTCAGCTCCCAGAATGCTTCACTCTTCAGCTCTGCAGGTCGCGCACGGTACTTTTCAAGAAAGGCGGGGCCAGCAGGGTGAAGTGCGGGAAATCTGGGTACCGCCATCGTAGCCTGGATCAAACCAACTGTTCACCTAGTGGGAGGTTCATGTTCTCTCTGTCGTCACTTGTTAACACCATTGAAATAAAGTGCGATTTACTATTGCAAGTCTCCTTATTCACCTTTGCGTTGAGAATTCCTTCCATTTTACATCCTAGGCCGGAACTGAATCCCTAAGGCTACAATAGGACATCCCAGCATGGCCGCACTCAGCGAGATTCCTCTAGGGGCGGAGTCGGAAACTGTCTTACTCCGCCTCCTGGTAGGAGGGGGTTTCCGTTTCCGGCAGCAGCGGCTGCAGCCTCGCTCTGGTCCCTGCGGCTGGGAGCCGAGCCGTGTGTCTCCTCCTCCGCCGCCGCCATATTGTCTGTGTGAGCAGAGGGGAGAGCGGCCACCGCCGCTGCCGCTTCCACCACAGGTACCTTGGGAGCCGCCAGACGAGGTCGTTGGAGGGTGGGGTGGGCCCAGGATAGGGCAGCGGAGCTTGGCCGCCCCTCAGGCTTTCAGCAGACTCTCGAGCGACCCGTCGCTTTCCCCTGCCCCCACCTTCACATATACACCAACCGAGGCCCCTGCAGCCCATCGGGGAGGCCCGGCGCCACCCCCCAGGGCGGAGGGCGAGGTTTGGGGGCAGAGGACTATGTGAGGGTGGGAACCGGCTGCCAGAGTCCAGCTTATTGCGGAGGAGAGGGCTGGACTGGGTGGGGACTAGGGGACAACTTGGAGGAGGGGGTCGTCCGAGGGGGAAGGGAGCTTGAGGGGTGGGGCCGCCGGGGGGTGCTGGGAGAGGGTGCAGAGGGAGTGGTGCCTGCTGGGTAGTGTGCGGTGAACCCTCCCGCGGAACTGGGCAGCTGGAGTAGGGGCCTTCCTAGGGTCCCTCTGGGCGGGGCTGAGCTTCCCACCTGCAGAGTGGGTGCGAAGTGGGGAGAACCCCAGGCGGGCTTGCTGGGGAGAAAGGGGGAAGGGACTAAGTCGTGGGGCAGAACGTCTGAGGTTGGAGTTAAGGACTAGTTAGGAGCCTGGATCGAAAAAGAGGTATGGAGAGAATGAAAGCCTGGCTAAGAGTATACATATGTTAGTTGGTGACCTTTTGAAAGAGTAGGACTTTTCAATTTTGTTTTTCGTTGTGTGTTTTTGCAGTGTTGGAACATTTCTAGATTAAGTAGGTGATGGGTGGAGCTTCTGTAGTTTGTTTTGGGGAAGCGAAGTCAGGGTCGGGAGAAGTTGCATCTTGGCTGTTGCTTTGTGTGGAGGAAGAGTTCTGAAAAGGAGGCGACAAATTATTTGGGAAGACTTGATTACCTTTCAACTGTTTAATTCTACGAGAATGGGATGTGGGGAGAGGAAATGAAAACTAGGAAGGGATGATTTTTTCCAAGAATTGGAGACTTCATTTCATCTAAGGAGTTCAGTATAGGCCAGTGGTTAAAAACCAGACTGCCTAGGTACTCAAGTATCAGGGCCATTGCCACTTAACTGTGTGACCGAAACTCTCTAAGCTTCAGTTTTCCTGTCTGTAAAATGGGGATGATGGTATTTCCTAGGTTATGAGTTTATGGAGAGGAGTAAAGAAGACAGTTTGTGTCAAGTGCTTACTACAGTGTCTGGCAGGTAGTAAGTGCCTGGTGGCTTTTACCTGTTACTGTAAAGGGACTAGCTGGTATATTTGGGACTCTTCTGTTCTAAGTAAAATTTATAGTCAAGAATTTGACTGTAGACAGGGCCTTAGAATATTATCTTCATAGTTGTAGGGTTTTGTTGTAAGTCATTTGGCTTTACTGGCTTGGTGGACCTGGGGCTGAAAGTCCAGTACCAGCACCAGCTCTCCTCCGTGGTATTCTCAAAAGTTCACCTGCAGTCTTAGCAGGGCATATTTGTCCTTCTGTGACTTTGAAATACTTGGCTTTGGCTTGCAATTGGGGGAGGGTGTGTGACTTGAAGAAAGAATGAAAGATTGGAAATTTGCTTAGATTGATTAATCAACTGATTACAAAATTAGGTCACCCTGAAGTGACTTTTCTTTAACAACAAAAAAATGCCTAGTTATGTCCTCTTTTGTGGAATACAGAGAAGAGAAATACACATTTAAGGAGGAGCATAGGTTAGCTTCTATGTAGTTATGGGTGAAGTGCCTTGCAATCTGAGGATGAAAGAGGTGGCAACACCTTTTCCATAGTGTGTGTTTAGTTCCTTTGCCTACTCATCCAGAGTGAGTCCTTGGTTTTACTATTGTTTCTATCTCTGAACATACACCTCTGTGTCACATAAGTAAAGACATATGTATAAATACTTCATGTAAGTAAAATATATACACCTTTATTTCACACTCGTTTAAAGAAAGGGATGATTTTCTGTAGGAAGTGAATTTAAACGCTTCCATAGGACTGGGATTTGTAGTAGGTAAAATGACATCTACCTCTTCCCAAGGTGTCCATACCTTAATCCCCAGAATCTGTAACTATCCTCTGTTACATATGTTACATGGCAAAAGGAACTTGGCAGGTGTAATTAAGGTTAAGAATCTGAAAATAGAAAAAATTATCCTGGATTTTCTGGGTGGGCCAAATCTAATCGCATGAGTCCTTGAAACCCTAATTTTAAACGAGAACTTTGTCCAGCTGAGGTCAGAGCAATGGGCAGAAAAGGAAATCAGAGAGATTTGAAGCATAAGAAGGACTCTATTTGCCTTTGTTGGAGAGGACCACATGGAAAGGTCCCCAGAGAAGGAATATGGGCAGCCTCTAGTAGCAAAGACCAATTCCCGCTGACAACCAGCAAGAAATGGGGACCTCAGTCCTGCAACCAGAAGGAACTGAATTTGGCCAATAACCTGATTGAGCTTGGAAGTTAATTTTTTCCCAGAGTTTCCTTGAGACACCTTGATTTTTGGCCTCATGAGACCCTAAACAGAAGAGCTAGCCAAGCCCACCCAACTTCTGACCTACAATAACTGTGACATAATAAACTTGTGTTATTTTTAGCCCCTACATTTGTAGTAATTTGTTACAGCAGCAGCAGAACACTAGTATCAATTTTGGTACCAGGAGTGGGGTACTATTACCTAAAAATGGAAGTGGCAGTGGATAAAGAAAGGTTAGAATAATTTTGAGGGGCATGATAGAAAAGGCCTAGAACATGGGAGGATTGCTTGAGGCCAGGAAGTCAGGGCTTCAGTGAGCAGTAATGGCACCACTGCACTCCAGCCTGGATGGCAGAGTGAGACCCTGTCAAAAAAAGAAAAAAGAAGTGGCAGGGTGTGGTGGCTCATGCCTGTAGTCCCAGCACTTTGGGAGGCCGAGCAGGCAGATCACAAGGTCAGGAATTTGAGACCAGCCTGGCCAATATGGTGAAACTCCATCTCTACTAAAATTACAAAAATTAGCTGGGTGTGGTAGTGTGCACCTGTAATCCCAGTTACTCCAGAGGCTAAGGCAGGAGAATCGCTTGAACCTGGGAGCAGAGTTTGCAGTGAACCGAGATTGTGCCACTGCACTGCAGCCTGGGCCACAGAGTGAGACTCTTGTCTCAAAAAAAGAAAGAAAAAAAAGGCCTGGGACAGATTTTTAGTAGTAATATGGATGTTAATGACTCTGCTAGAGAAGGCTCAGACAGAAGTGAGGTCTTCCTTATTGGAAACTGGCAGAAAGGGGATCCTTGTTACATAGTAGCAACTAAGTGTAGCAGAATCCTTATGCTGTGGTCATATGGAAAGCCAAATTTGTAAGTGATGAACTTGTGTATTTAGCTGATATTTCCAAGCAAAGTATTAAAGGTGCAGCCTGGTTTATTTGTGAATGTGAACTTTAATGGCTTGAACCCCTGTGAAATTTTTGCATAGCTCATTAGGTTCTTGAGAATTTTATGGTAACATAAACAATTCTAGTTTGGATTGAAAGAGAAAGTGCCAGGCATGGTGGCTCATGCTTGTAATCCTAGCACTTTGGGAGGCTGAGGCGGGTGGATCACCTGAGGTCAGGAGTTTGAGACCAGCCTGGCCAACGTGGTGAAACCCCATCTGTACTAAAAAAAATTAGCCAGGTGTGGTGGCACTCGCCTGTAATCCCAGCTACTTTGGAGGCTGAGGCAGGAGAATCGCTTGAACTCAGGAGGTGGAGGTTGCAGTGAGCTGAAATTATGCCACTGCACTCCAGCCTGGTCGACTGAGTGAGACTCCGTCTCAAAAAAAAAAAAAAAAAAGAAAGTAATAGGGCTGTTGGACCCCCCAAATTCTGATAGGAAGCAGGCTGATAAAACTACTCACATGTGAATGTGTTGCTTTCCATAAAAAAAGAAGGGTGACTCAGACGGAGATAGAAAGGAGAGCTTAGTCGGATGGAGCTAAAAGCTGGAGAGGATTTTTCCCAGGCTTTGAAATGGAATGGAGATACCCGAGATTTTGAAACTGCTTTGGACCCTTGGCTCTGTTTTCTTTTACATTTTACCCATTTGAACTGGAATTCTGTTAACTGTTATTCTATATCTGTCCCACAATAGTATGTTGGGAGCAGAGAACTTGTTTAGTAATTTTGCCCCATGAGTTGAACCTCATGCACACCTGAATAGATGAATGAGATTTGGGACTTTTGAAATAATGAGCTTTAGATGGAAAACCTTTGGGACCTTAGGATGGGAGGATGTATTTTGCATTTGGGAGAGAGGCGAATCCTTGGAATCCAGAAGGCAGACTGCAGTAGGCAGAATGGCTCCCCTACGATTTCCGTACTATAAACCCCGGAACCTGAATATGTTATGTAGCAAAAGAGACTTCATAGATTTAATTGAAGTTAAGGATCTTAATTAAAATGGATAGATTATTTTGGATTTTCTGGGTGGGTTTGTTCTACTCACATGAGCACTTAAAAGCAGATAACTTTTTCAGGCTAGTGTCAGAGATGAAGCAGAAGGGGAAGTCAGAGATTTGAAGCATGGTAAGGATTCAACATGCTGTTACTGGAGGGGGCCAGATGAAAAGCATGAGAGAGAGAATGCAGGCAGCCTCTGGTAGGAAAGGCCAGTCCCAGCTAATTACCAGCAAGGAAGTGGGAACCTCAGTCCTACAGCTATAAGGAGCTAAATTCAGCCAATAGCTTAAATGAATGTGGAAGGGGATTTTCCCCAGAGTTTCCAGCAGGGAACCAGCCCAGTGAATACCTTCATTTAGCTCTTGTGAGACCCGGTCAAATATGCTGAATTCTGTAACATAATAAATTTGTGTTGTTTTATTTGTGATAATTTGTTATGACAATGGAAAACAAATACAGGGGTTTTGCTGGTTTTATTTCAGAATCTTTGGGATATTATTTTTTAGAGAACAAAGATAGTAAAGATTCTACAAAGTAATTTAGTTCTGGAAGACTCCACAGAATAATGGTGTTGAGTGGAACCTGTGCCTCTTTCTTGATGTTTGAATATTATTAT